AATACAACAAAATGATGGATTGTACAATCTCAACAAAAGTTGAGATTGTTATGATTGTTGGTTTAATAATTGGGCACCTTTACTTTTTCCAATTATGTACATAGTTCTTTTTGTTTTATATTAAAAGTGGAGGACAAATATACATTTTCTTATAAAGTAACTTTATAACAATCCATTCATAAATTATAATCTCAACAACCAAACAATGTAATTTCAAAATGCATCTATTGTATCACTGCATACATTTATATCACAGTGATTCATAACAATACAACGATTTAACATACGTAACTTCCAAACGATCCCTTAGTATATAATTAATCCATCGATTTACGCCTCCTTTCATTCCCTCCTCAAACACATCGTCTTCACATTCCATTTAAAAAAGAAAAAAAAAAACATTTCCGACCAAGCCGAAAGCGGAGAAAGTAATACAAAGGGGGCCCGGGCGGGGGACGGACGAGGGACAAGCCAAAACCCTACAGCTGTAACAGCTTTGGAAGTTCAACCAACCAACAAACACCACACTAGATAGATAGAGATAATAATGGCTATGGGGATAAGAGACCAAGTCAACCACAATCCATGCTCGTCGTCGATATCTCCATCCAAGCCCAAGAAGAACAAGTCCAATCTCATCTCCAAAAAGAAGACCAAGAAGAAGGAAGACAACCTCCGCGCCAAGGCCGCTCTCCACCTTCAACAACAACAGCAGCAACTAAACTGTGACGGCGATCATCGTCCGATCCTGCGGCCGAAAGTGTACATCACCGATATCTCCAACTTCAAGACCCTTGTCCAGGAGCTCACCGGCAACGGAGCTCCCGCCGCGGTTGATCCGGTGGCCCCGAAGTGGGAGTCCTCTCCGTCATCGGAGATATTCGAATCCGAGAGCGAGAGTGTAGATGCGGCGTCGGTTGATTCGAAGCGGGACGGCGTCGTTTAATTACCAGGAAGAGATGAACAGTTTCCAGCCCTATGGTTACTACGACGACCAGATGGGGTTGTATAGTTTGGAGGAGACCAGATCGAATGATATGCTGGCGTGTCAGGCTGACCTGGAGGCTTTGTTGGAGGATATGGATCAAGAATTCCCTCTGGTGTTTGAGACCAATTATTCATCGGAATCTCGTCATCAAATTCATTATCAGCAGTATTATCGCGAGGAGGAGGAGCAGGAAGCCGATCTCAGCATTTACGACTATGATTTTTCCGGGGTCGTCTGCTGAGAAGCTAGGGATGCATGGCGCGCGACTGCATGTGAAGTATAGATTGAACATATATAAAAGCTGCTCGACCGATCTCGATTGATCGTAGCGTACACATAGGTTTTGGTTACTCTACTTTTTGTTCATAGTATACTGTTTTGGGGTGTCAAGAATGTATCCGCGTGTATACATGTGTATGGCTTCCGGTGCACAATTTTCCTGTGTATATCGTTTTTTGTTCTGTGGTCGGAAGCCATACCACGTCTGTGCAGTATGTGAATGTTCTGTTCTGTTCTGTGTGTTCAATATGTTTGCAGAAGCACGCTGCTTCCAGGCATCTAAGTATACAATTAACGTTTGGCTGAACATCTACTTCGATTACAATTATCCTAATTATGAAGTATGCAAGAGAAGCCTCTCGATTCTTCAATCTCCAGTCTTCACAACAATACGTGGCTGCTGCTGGAGGAAGCCTTTGACATGTTGATCCATACATTCTGTTGTGGGACAATCCAAGTACCACATCGAAAATACAAGGGAGGGAACTCTTGTATATTAGTGTCCACCTAGCCCAATTAGTACGAGGTCTTTTGAGGAGGACACCCAAAAGTAAAACCGTGCGGGCTTGATGCAAAGCGGACAATATCGTACTAATTGAGCATCCCGATTGCGACACCTTCTCTCGATTTCCATATGATGCACTCTACCTCTCGGTTGGATTGTTACATCCCACATTATGGATATCATCCAATCTCTAAGTGGATGGTACCATCCCATATAATGGACACCATCCAACCTCTTAGTGGATGGTAGGGGTGGGCATTGATTTGACCAAACCGCATTTGCGGTTAATACAAACCGCATTGCGTTCTGAATGCGGTCTGTTCATAAAGCGGTTAACGGTTTTTTGGTTCGGAACCGCAAACCGCTAGAGGAAAGAAAGAGATGGGACGGTCGCACTTCTGCTTTCTAGCTTGCTAGAGATGGCCTCACTTCGAGACGATGGGAGGGAGCTTCGCTGAACATTTCGAGCGGGTCAACGTCATCGACGTCCATCGCCATCGTCGAGCCTTGCTCTTCCATCTTCACGAAGTAATCCATCTGCATCGGCCTCATTTCTCCAGTGTTGATCTCCGATCAATCCCTCACACTCTCCTCAAGAGAAAATTCCACAATCGACAAGTCGTCCATGGAAAATACCCCATGCTAAATAGACATGTTTTTGTGGTTATTAATTCTAAAAATTCAGCTCACATTATTACGTTCTCGATACCGCACATCTCCTTTATTAACTGAAAAGCTTCTTTGTAAGAAAAAAAAACACCCTTATCTGATGCTATAACGAGAAACTTGGCAAGCTCTGTTTTAGTGGAAGGGAAACAGAGTCACCAGCTCCAGCAGTAGCAATTCTCGATTTTTGGAATGCTTTGTTTTGATGGCTACTCGAACAGTGTCACCAGCTCCAGCAGTAGCGATTCTTGATTCGATTCTCGATTTTGGAATGCTCTGCTTTGGATACATTGTACAAATCATAATGAATTGTGGTCAAAATGCAGCGTGGTCTAAACCGTACCAAACCGCATAGATAACTTAGCGGTCGATCAAGCGGTGCGATCCGATTAAGATGTGGTTCTGTGCGATCTATATCAATGCGGTTCGAACCGCCCCGATGCCCACCCCTAGTGGATGGTGACTATCCCATATTAGTAGACACCATCAAACCTCTTAGTGGATGGTGTAATAGGGTCGAGCGCGAGACCTAACTTCCTTTGCATTGATAATTCACTATTTCTACAAAAACCCTAATCGAGCAATCGACCAAGCAGGTGAAGAGCAAGAGACCAAAAATAATTATTTTGTGGAAAATAAAATGTAAATTAGTTATGTTTGAAGGAAATAAAACTAAAACAAAACTTTGTTTAATCCGAACTCACAGTGCGCTTTAAGCCCAGACGCCTGTTACTAAAAAGCTTGGGCTTAAACCTGGTCAAGCCTACGCATTCTGCAGATGGTTCTCTTCTTCCTCGTGTTGCAATCTTCAATTCCCTGTATCCTGATTTTCCTTGACCCTGAACACACGAACCAGAGAACCAACATACAGAAATGCAGAATCTTAAATAAACTCAACACAAAGGCAATTTTGCGTTGTATCCAAAATTGGGAGAATCAGGATCTCAATATCGACTAATCCACGGTAGAAAATTCTCCTCAGATATTTCCTACGTAACCACTAGAACGATTTCCTTGTTCCTCTTACAGCCTTGGAGTTAGACCTGATCAGCTCCCTGCATGCTCCGAAGGTTGAGAAAGACAACTAGTGTCAACAACAGTCTAAGTTGTAGTCGTGGAGCTCTTAGAGAATCTCTACAGGAGTAGTGTAAGGTAACGTAAATTCCCCTCACACCAAACACCCTCGTTCGAACAGTGTTTGAAGTGGTCTGGACCGTAGTAACAATCGTAACCTTCATAGAAGTCAAGTGCAACTCATCCATCCATTTTTCCACCGTTAACAGATCCCTAACATCTCTCTCAATATTTTTCTGAATAAAATATTAATATCTCCATCTCACAGTCTATCCACTTCAATATCGATCATGTACAAATATGGTGGAAGAAGACGGTTTCACATAGGTGAGTTTTTGTTTTTGCAACTAATTTCAAGATTTTAGACCTTCCTCTTCCTTTCTTCTTGATTTTTCCTGTTTTCCTCTTAAGTTTTGGTGACTGGTGCAAAACATGACCATATATCAATCTCCAGAATCTTCGATCTAAAACTGGAAATTCATCTCCATCAACACTTCAGCCAACTTTTCCGTACCCTGACTGGCGCAAAACATTGACCATAGATCAACCTCTATAATCTTTTATCTAAACCTGGAATTCATCTCCATCATCGCTTTGGCCAACTAAACCTGGAATTCATTTCCATCTTCAAAAGAGTAGATTTGGTCGATTACCCGACGATATATGATTAAGCCCTTAGATTGAATAGAGCAAGCCAATTCATCACTGGCATTCCGGGTTAATCTTCGAGCGAGTTGATCTCTTAATGGTAGAGATATCGAGTCAATCAATCTAGGGAAGTAATTAACATTGACCATATGAAGGGATTAGTGAGATTCATGCCTAAGTGAGCTCCAAACTTGTAATTAAGTAGGGTAGTGGTTTGGTTAGTGTGGTGATTTTAGTCTTAATCGCTACTCTTGGTTAGATAGACAATGATACCTAAGACGACGTAAGGTACATCTAGAGACCTGTGGTTCGATAATTTTGTTACATGCTTACCCTATGCTCCACCCGGTCGTGGGTTATACTTGTCCTTCGATTGAGAAGTTGTAGTTAATGCGGGTCAAGTTTTTGGCACCACTGCCGGGGAGCACAGTCTATTATAAATTAGGGGGGATGTGACTTAATCTAGCATTTAATTTCTTTCATCTTGAATTTTGATCTTTCTTGTTTTGGCTTTCGTTTGTGTTGTGTGAAGTGTGTGCATTAGGTGTATGAATCAAAGCAACCCGACACCTTTGACACCGCTAGACGAAAACATCAATCGCACTCTCCAAATTCTATCTCAAGAGAGGGAGTTCAGGGAAGCAAGAGAAAGGCTCGAGGTTCGAGGTCAACCTCATGTTGAAACCAAAGTTGAAGTTGAGGAAGAATTTGAAGTGGAGGAGGAAGTTGAGTTTGAATAAGAGGTAGAAGTTGAAGACCTTGTGATGGCGAACGAAACTGTACAAAGAGTTGACGAAGCAAGGAGTATGGGGTATTATATGAATCAACGGGTGGCAGACATCCAATTGAGCATTCTACACCCACCTGTGGTAGTCAACAACTTTGAGATCACGACTAATCCAGAGCAATATCCAATACCATGGTCTTGAAGACGAGTCCGCAAGGGAGCAAATCAATATATTCTTCTAGTTGACGGATGGCTTGAAGATTAACGGAGTGCCTCAAAATGCTATTTGGTTGAGAATCTTTCCCTACTCCCTAAGTGGCAAGGCGCAAAGTTGGTTGAACAATAGGCCTCTGATCTCAATCACATCTTGGGACGACTTGTTAACCCAGTTTATGAATCGATATTTCCCGCCCTCCAAGTTGGCGGAGTATCGGAAGAAGATCACCCACTTTGCTTAAGAGGATGATGAGACTTTGAGAGATGCTTGGGATCTCTACTCTGATCTCTTTTTACAATGTCCACACCACGCTTTTGGTGAGCAATTCCGGAGTGAGACCTTCTAGAATGGTCTCTTCCAGGAATATCGAACACTCATTGATTCTTTTTTCTAACAAGGAAATATGCTCAGCAAAACTCCACCCCAAATAACTCATTATTTGAAGAATGGCCACACAAGGCTATGATTTGGGTATAAAAGGCGTGGAATGAAGATTCGATAGAGGAGAGTGCATTCCACCGAAGCAAATCCTCCAATTGCAGCGATGGTTGATGAGTTAATAAAGGTGATCTTGCATGATAGGAAGCAGGTCAAGAGCTCGGTTATGGTTTGTGATTGGTGTTTGAGTCCCAACCATGAAGTAGAAGAATGTCAAATCATGAGGGAAGAGAGCACTCTAGCTAGGGGGCTAATCCAAACAATAACCCATATAGCAATACATACAACCCTGGGAGGTGAAATCATCCCAAATTTGCATGGTTATCACCACCCAATCTGAAACCACCCCGTTTCCAAGGACCAACCGGAAATTATCAACCAAGACCTCCATTTGCTCAACAAATGCCACAATTCCAATCTTCAAACTTTCAACAACAACAATACCAACCATAAGGTGGCAAGGGTTTCAACAACAAACCCGATAGGGTCACCAAGCTCGAAGATCTAGTCACAAACTTTGTGAGTTCAAGTTCTCAAAAGTTTGAGAAGATTGACAAGTTCATGAAAGTTGCAAAAAAAAATTTTACTTCGGTTGAGGTGGGCTTAAGAATTCATTAAGCAAGTCTTCAAAACTTGGAGACTCAAATTGACAACTTTACTGAGGTCCTCACTGGGAGACAACAAGGA